TTTTTGTCGTTTTTCAAGTTTGCAGGACATTTAATTAATTCCGCGTTCGATTAATTAAAATAATGATGTTTGCATTACGTAAAATCGTGCATAGCAGAAGGAAGAGGAATTAATTATGCACGTTACAGTCGAATTAATTGTGTTGTATAATGAGTAACGATTTACGGTATGAATAAATCATTATTGATATTAAAAGAGCCGAGAATTATCAACTTTCATTGCGTCGGTATTTGTCTTTGTTTCATGAAGTGAATGTTCTCTGTGAAATTGTAATCGCGATATTAGTGTTCATTTTGTTTTAATTATGCAATATTCCGAGTCGAATAGACACGTCGAAGCACTTTTCATTTCAAATAATTGATCTTGCAATATTTGTCGAATTTAAATAGTCGCAAATAATTGGAAATAAGCATCCAATAATCGATCTGTCAGACTAGCTCGTAAATGCCTGTGCTTGGCTGAAAGCCTGTCCCCAGGCGCGCGCGACAGACACTGTTCAGACCTAACCAATCAAAACCCACGTCCTCATCTACCGCAGAAACTTTCCAATTTTTCCCTGATCAATAAAAAATCATAAACCAAAGCAATATTCTAAATGTAAAACCAAAGTGAATGAATTCTATTTTTAGCTGGTTTATCGCGCATCTCCCTTTCCTTTCTAAACGGTTCAATTTTGAAAAATTTATTTCGATATTGGTTCACGTGGCACGAAAAATGATTTGTTCAGTCCAGGACAAGTTATTCCAAAAGGAAAGCCAGGGTTAAAAATGCATTGTTCGCGATATTACGAGGTCGAACAATTTATACTTTTTTTCCCTTCCGAATTTCAAAAGATTCCCGATATCCTGCGCTGCAAATCACTGGAAATCCCGAAAAATCGGCTGCAAACATTCGCAATAAAGTCGACAATACTTTTCATTCGCGATTTCGGCCCTCGTCGTCTCCGGTCGTCCTGCCATGAGCGGAGAAAATAAAATCTCGCGCAACTCCATCCCGAAAAAACCCACTTTGCCTCGGCTTCCATCGCGCACGAAGCCTCGCAGCCCTGGTGAAACTCAATTTTTCACATCAACACCCACTCCACCCCCTTTTTCCACGAAACGACTCGATCGAATCCAGTCGCAGCCTAATTACCATCAATTCCCTGCACTCAGCCGGTCGTAACAGGCGGTCTAATTCAATTTTACATCACTTACAACAATGCAGCTGTTCCATTCATCGTCGTGGATCGTTCTCGTTCGTTCGTTTCGATCCTCTGCCATTTAATAAGCTCGAAACAAAAGAAGACGCGATATATTCCGCGACCGGTCCCCCCGACCCATTCATCCGCCACCCTGTGCACCATGGTCGCTGTCAGCCATCGCTCGAGCTGATCCAGACACCCAGCTTTTCCCTTCTTATTTCGCGGAATCTTCCGGCCTGATCTCTTCGCGCTTTAATATACCTGCGATTACGCGCCAGCTCGCGACTTTATTAGAGAACCGTCGCGAGAGAGTTTCTTTTTCCATCCTCTCTCTCACTCTTCAACTCCCCGTGTGTGTGCTTGTGCGTGTGTCGAAGGACATTCTTTTACATCCCACGCGGTGGGTTCATATTTTTGCAAGAATGATGGTCAGAGAGACACAAAATATTCGACAGGAATATTGCGAAGATCGGTGTTCCATTTAAAGGGATTTATGGTTTATAACGTACGAAAGTGTGATTTTGGGGTAGTTTGGATTATGTTCGCGTTTGGATGCACGAAATTTGCGAATTTCGACTTTTGAAAGGACTCGTGGAGCATATTAGATGGAACAGAAACGTCCTGAAATGTAGATTAATGCGATGTTTTGACGTGAATTGGTAGGTGGAGAAATTTGAAAGTGTCCTATTAGCATGAGATGGATTATGATACAATTACCCGTTTGCGGGAAATTTAATTCACCCCGTGATTAAGGAGAATTGATTTCAATCTACTAATAGAGCTGTTTCCCGAGGGTAGTTTCTCAGAATAGTGGTGCAGGGATAATCTCCAGCTGTTCGAGGAATTTCCACCATTAAGTCTTCCGACATGGAGGAAAAAGAAAAGAAGAGGGAGAAGACTAATTATCGGCTTGAACGGACCGATGTCTGACCATATACGGCTCCTTACTACCTTCTCCTTCCTGCACATGACCTACTTGCCACAGCAAAATCGAACACCGATTTTTCTTAGATCCTACTTCGCCATTTACTATCTATATACTGAGACACTCATTTTTCAAAATCGAACACCGATTTTTCTTAGATCCTACTTCGCCATTTACTATCTATATACTGAGACACACATTTTTCAATTTTTAGAGCGACTTATGTCAAAAGATTTAAGTGAAATCAGTGTATTAATTGTGAATTATGATTTAATCGTAAATTACCAATTTACAATTTCTTATTAAAGAAAATATAGAGTAGTACTCAAAAATGAATTTCGAATTTTAGAATTTAAATTGACGATACTGAATATAAATTTATTTAGATCCAAATTTATGAGATGAATACTGCTAGTATAAGTTAGTGGACTTGAGGTATCATAGTTTGGATTCTGATAAATGGACTCTAGTCCACAGTTTATAGAGTTCAATCATTGGACTGTGGATTTTGGACTATCATCGATAGGTCACAATTTTAATCAGAAATTATAGACACAGTTACTAGAAGCTATAGTCTCGATTTCAATGAATATACTTTATACTAAGATCCTTGGTCAGAGCTTTTAATTTCTAATCACAGAGCACGAACTAACTATGGATCCATGAGTCACAATTTGGATTCAAAATATTGGAAACCACGTATATAGTCATTAAATAATAAATGAGGAACCTTGGACCTATCTCATAGATTATGAGGGATCTTGGACCCAAAGAATGGCTTCAGAACTTTAAATTTCATATTTTAAACTCCAATTCTACATATATAGTCACTAAATAATAAATTTGGAACCTTGGACCTTCCTCATAAATTCTGAAGGATCATGGACCCCAAAGAATGGACTCAGAACTTTAAATCCCACATTTTAAACTCCAATTCTACATATATAGTCACTAAATAATAAATTTGGAACCTTGGACCTTCCTCATACCTCCTGCGGGATCATGGATCCCGAACAATGGATTCAGAACATTTTAATCTCCAAATCCCATTTTCCAAAACGCACTGTAAATTTGAATTCGTACATCCATGAACAATGGACACCAGACAAAGGACTTTTGAACTGAGATCTCATAATGTCCCGCGCGATACAATTCGTTCGAAAGCATGGCAACCATGGAAACCAACAGATAACAAACTCTCGCATCAAGTAGCCGAAAAAATGAGATAAAATTGTGGAAAGCAACAGTCCATGGAAGCACTGCGGGAAGAAACGAGAAGTCCAATTTTCCGCTGTGCTCATTTCGACGAAAATTGCGGCTGGTTGCGAAATAATGGGACGCCCGTTAGATGGGACAGCAGAGACGATTAAAAGCGATACGTTACGTGGCGCGAACACCGTTGCACGAGTGCTTGAACGAGAGGAGAGTGGCTGAGTGCAGGCCACATATATTGACATTCCGACGCGTGTAGCAGCCGAACCGGAGGATCTCTGTTTAATCCGGCGCAAGCTGTTTATTTATGCGCGCACGAGTGTCTTCGGTATGCGATGAAAGGATTATCGCGGCATACCGTCATAATTACACGCCGTGTCTGCCGCTCAGCAGTGATGCTTGCATGTGCGAACGCTTTGTTGCGTTGTTTGTTGCTCCAGCGGAACAAGGACGATGGTGCCTCTTGCGGATGAATGTTTTCATCGTTACTTTCCCGTTTGTCGCGATATTTCACTGTCTCGTCGCGTGAATTCCGTTTTCAAGTTTGACGGTATGATTTCTCTAGTGGTTAATAAATTTCTCAATTCAATGAAAGCGAAGAGGTAAATTGAACTATTACTTTTCTTAGGGTTATGGAAATTTGCGTGGTTATTATGGGATTCAGCGTTTCCTTCGGAATAAATATTTTCGAAAATGTAAATGCCAGTTTTAATATTCGGTTTCAAAAGATTTGGATCCAGGATAAGTTGATGGACTCATGGATTGTGGATCTTGGATGAGTAGTATGGACTGTGCATGGATTATAGATCTTGGAACTTATTTGGTGAACATAGGACACTGAATTTCGGATTTTGGACCCTGCATTGGGGATCCATAAATCTTATACCTAAGATCCAAAGTGTTTGTATGAGATTTAAGATAATGTATGATAAACTGCGAGGTTTGGATCTGGAATTTTGAAGTTTGGACCCTGGGCTGCAAGTATATTTATACATTAAGTGCCACACACAACAAATGGAGAATTTTGAATGCTACTCTGATACTCAAGATTTAATTTTTGAAGTTTAAATTGTATAGAGTGCTCTATGGTTCATGAGAAATGACCACTGAAACTTTATCTCCAACACATAAACTATGATTAATAGTTCCCAAAATTCAGAATTCTTAAATTTTTTACATACATCCTAAATAATGGACTCCCGACATTGGACTTTGGATTTTGGATTCTGGACTTTCAAATTTTGTACTTGGATTCCTTATAATGGACTCCTGACATTGGACTCTGTGTTTTAGACTCTGGGCCTTCGGATTTTATACCTGGACTGTAAATAACGGACCACTGCCATTGGACTCTGTGTCATGGATCCTAATTTATGGACTGTCAACTATGGATTCCGAATGGTAAATTATAGAGTACATTTTATTAAGTGGTATTTCTCATGATTCTAAATAATGGATCCCGGCCATTGGACTCTATATTTTGGATCCTAATTTATGGACCGTCAACTGTGGATTCCGAATTGTACATTGTAGAGTACATTTCATTAAGTAGTATTTGTCATGTCTATTTTTATAATCTTCAACTGGAGATTTTCATGCATTTAAATTACAGCTACAGTAGGTTTCAATGTTAGACTCTAAATTTTAAATTAGCAATGGTTTTCAGCAATCAAAACTTACCAATCAAGCGTAGCCTTCGCAACGTACTGCACCTGGTTCTCCCTATCAGGATAATAATGACGGTCGTTAATGGGGACCTGAGAGTGACACACGAGACGAGTCTCATTTTGATTAAGAATCGTCAGGTTGTAAGGTGACGCTAGCAGTCGAGACGCTATCGGATCCAGGGCTACCCATAACTTATTGTCCACCACCCAAGATGGATACGAGCAACGTTCAGTCGTGTTTTCTGAAACATACAAAAAGGAAACCTTAATAAAAGAATGTCATACACCAATGAAAAGTACCATCTTCACTTTACATTTAATTTTCGCGAAGTAAAAAATTCCAAAACACTTTTAAACGATTGCAATCTACAATTTTTCAATTTTTAAAAATATTTTACAATATTATCAAGTCTTTCGTGTACTAAACTCTTGTGCACAAAAACTTTTGTATACAACTGAAATATTTTTGTGCACTGAGGCTGTAAATGGTCCGTGACAGCGTGTATTAATAAATAAATAAATAAGCAAACTGTATCTCATTTGTCCACAAGGTTGCATTTGTTTAATTCAAAGATTACATCGACCCAAATTTTGATTTACATCGTAATAAATATTTTAATACTTCTCGAAGTCCCCATTTAATTTTTCCATTACAAGAGTGCCAACTATGGTTACCAAAGGTGTCAGTCGTCGAACAAGAGCTCCCTGATAGGCATTGCGAAAAATGTCAAATTATATTCGATAAGTTCCATCCGATGACGAAAGTTAAACATGATTAGACGTCGAAGAACTGGGCTGAGGCTTCATTCGCCTCTCGAAATAATATAACTTCGTCACTAACGCGGTTATTCTGACCTCGGAGCGCATAATACAACTAGAAACTCATTCCAGGCTCTTCAAGCACGCCAAGTGCTCGTGCTGATAAATGAACAACGAGTAAACTTCCGCTGTATTTCCTTATCCCTTTTTTCTCCTTGTTCCATCATCGAACTGTTATAAATTTAATTATACGACTGTCGAGTCCATCCCTTCGTTGAGTAAAACCAGCAGAATTTTAATTTCCCATTTCCAGTGGCCTCGTTACGAAACGAGCCGACTAATTAAAAATATTATTCCACGGCTGGGAAAAATCGAATAATTTCGAAGTTACTCCAATAGCCTGTTAATACGTTGGAGCTAGGAAGTTGCAAAACATAGTTAAGAGAACGATAGTTTGGAATTTTACTGACAGGATTTACGGTTAAAAGGGAAATTCGTCGAATTAAAGCTGGTAATGGTTATAAACTTTCCTTTCAGTTTGGTAACAGGATTTTAAGGATTAGTAGCTTTTTTAGAACACAGTTAGGAAGTCGTTAATTGGAACACTTTTTGGTTGTTCCGGAAATTGTTGTACTAGAGCACGAAATTTAAGGAAACAAGTGAAAATGACCGGTTGCCAGTAGTACAAATCAACGCATTGTCAGCCGTACACAGAAACTGCTCGTAATTTAAACACAGGGTAAATTTATGCGGTTGCAGATTATCAAACACACACTTTTTCTTCATTTTTCTCGAATTATTCGATTCTACAGTAGAATTGGGAAAGATTGAGAACAATTTTTTGATTTTGAAATACTCCTTTCTCAGAATTTGCGATCTTCTATTAAACGTTCTAATTGCAACATTTTGACATTATGTAGAAACTCCAATGGGAAAAATAGATTTCTGTGAACGAGGGGTGAAAAAGTGAAATCGGACACGACTATTTTTAATCGTAATTCGGGCAGACACTCGCAGAACTCGTGTCCTATCGAGCTATCGATCGCCTTTCAGCCGAGGCGTTCTGCACGCCGCATACTTCGACGCCTGTGCATTTTTAACGGTCCATTAATTCGTGCACAGTGATTGATAGCTGTGAGCAGTCGACCATCGACGCGATAACTGTTTGTAGGCGACGAGGACGAGCGTTTACGTTGGATTATTGCATTCCCCCCGCCACGTCCTAACTTATATTTTATTCCACAGACTTCGTTCGTTTTAAATAAATTATAGTTTTAGTTTCTTGTATAATATCTGAAGGAATAGGTATTTCCTGATATAACTGCTGGATTTTGTAAACTTTCTTGCTATTATTATTGATTACTAATATCATTAATATGTATTTTTATTCTTGTTATTATTAATTATTATTTCATATTGATAATTTAACAAAATTGTTATTTGTATTTGCATTATTAATATTGATATAAATTTTCTATTCGAATATTTTTTAAAAGCCAATACCATTATGTGTAATACTATGAGTAAAAACTTTGTATTTCTATTATTAACATCGATATAAATTTTATAGTTCAAAATTTGTAGAAATTTGGTAGCTGTCTCTTTTCCCTTCCCAAATAAATTTTGTAAAAATTGACATACTTAAGGGTATTATCAGGAATGTAAATTTTGTATTTGAAAATTTTTTAAAAATCGATAGAATTATTAATATTGTTATCAATAAAAATTATGTATAAAAATATTAAATAAATTATAGTTCTCGTACCATGTATAGTATTTGAAAGAATCGACATTTCTTGACATAGCTACTGGATTTAGTAAATTTTGTTGTTATTATTATTGATTATTAATATTATTAATATGTATCGTTATTATTATTATTAATTATTATTTCATACTGATAATTTGACAGAATTGGTATTTGTATTTATATTATCAATATTGATATTAATTTTAGTGTCCAAAATTTGTAGAAATTTGGTAGCTGCCTCTTTTCCCTTCCCAAATAAATTTTGTAAAAACTAACATCCCTAAGGGTATTGTCAGGGACGTAAATTTTATATTTGAAAATTGTTTTAAAATCAGTACCATTATTAATATTCCTACAAATAAAAATTTTCTGACTGTTTTGACACAAAGTGGATATATTTTTCTCATTACCCTAGATTCAGATTTTATATTCCACAATATAAGATAGAACTGATGCACTTATTATTATAATAGTATATCTGGTAGCTCTATAAAAATCGATGGTTCAATTATTATTGCCATGAATGTAAATTTTGAATTTGCTCACAGAATAAAAAATCTATCTAAGTATTATAGCATTGATATGAGTGCAATTTTCTATTACATAATTTAGTAAAATATTGAAACACTTGTTACCAATGCTCTGCACTCAAATTCCATAGTCGACAATTTTTCTGAAGCTCGATACCGTTACTGCTATTGCTATAGATACAAATTTAATATTTGCTAACTTTTTAAAAAATCGATATATGTGCTTCCACTTTTATTAATAAATTTGATAAAAAATGGCATTTTAGTTTCCATTTTTATAGTTCTAAATTCTATATCCAATAATTTAAAAAAAAAGATATATATAAAATACTATATATTAGTATTAAAGATGAAAAAACAAAATATACATGTATTAAAAAACTATACTATTAAAATTCTCAATCTATTTACATCTATTGATGATGATATTAATCAACATTTATTACTAACAAACGTTGAGGAAGAAAATAATTATTTTCAAATTTTTGTATATTCTTCATCGTCTGGGATAAATAAATTGAAACTAAAAATTGGATTTGAGTAAGATAGCCGAAAAATCTTATTGATTATCAATGTATAAGATGTGTCTCTCCATCCTATCTTTAATTTCACTATAAATTGTCAGAAACTAAAGAATATAAAAAAGTTTACAGATTATTACTATGTCAGTAAGTACATTACCCATAAATTATGAATATAAGGTTATAATTTTTAAAAAATACTATGCTATTACCAGCATCACGAATACACGAAATTTCATACTGTACATTTAAAAAAAAAAAATCTATTTCTTCATGGATCCACGTTTCATATTCGTATCTAAATTGAATTCAAAGTAACAAAAGCTTTTAAGATACCAAATTTCTTTTTTACATCGAGTTACTTTCAGGTTTCAATATTGTTCCACGATATTTACGATTCCTTCGAGATATTCCTTTTTTTATTCCGTCTCGAATTCACTTCGTTCTGCCTCGGAAGGTATTGTGGTCGGATGCAAATCAACGATCGGGTCCGTCTGCCTGTGTCCGACCACGCTCGAAGACCAAATATAAAAAAGGAGCAACCACCATAAAGTGTTGAACTCCTCGGCTGGAGCCGATATATTTACAATATGATGGCCATAAACATGGTCCTATAAAAAAATCCCTTCTATCTCGTGGGAAGTAATAGGCAGACTAAATTCACTTTGTTCGCGAGTTCTACGTGTTCGGAATCGCGATAAAAATGTTAGATTGGAGGAAAGACAAAAGCAAAAAGGAATTTAACGACGAATGACTTATTGCGGAATAAATATATGTGGGATTGGAATAAGTACGGCCCTGAAAGAATGCCAAGTGTGTTTGGGCTCAGGATGGAAGTGACCACGTGCACGCGAATTAACTGCAAAGAATGTTTATGGTAGGGTCGAGCGAAAGTTTAGGGATGCGTCCAGAGTGATTGAAGTACCTGGCCCACGGAGGTTGCGTGGGAAAGGGGCATGATTGGAAAGGAAAGCCTGGGTATGGAAAAGGACAGAATGAATGTTTTAAATAAGGGTGCAAGGGCGCGGGCAGCTCCAGTCTACACAGTCGTAAGTCATGAACAGTCTACAGACTTTAACAGTCTTCAGTCTTTAAGAGTTCTTAAGCTAGTGTCTAAGAGTATGTCGGTAAGAAGTCAAAGTCGAACGTGCCCATAGCGAATCCCTCTTGTTTCATAGCCGTCAGTCTACGTATAAGATTATTGTATTTTATTAAGAAGTAAAACAACACTATTTTAACCAATCCACCCAAACCGATCCCTACATATATATGTATATCTAAATTAAATTTAAAGTAATAGTTTTAGTTAATAGTTCCTTTATGTAGATTATTAATTGCGGTGTCGATTAACGAAATTAGGAATTTTAAGTCAGGGATCTTTATTAATGTAAATTTTTGGTGTTGCTATTTCGCCTGAAACTATGGTCCTTTAAAGGTGTTCAGCACTAAAATTCGAAACGATTGGAATGAATTCGTACGTTGGCGTGAGAATTTTTACTGCGATTCGTAATTACTCGTTTTAATTAATTTTAGTATCGATTATACTTTTTCATCAAAAAAACAGGACTTTTTATTCCTCTTGTTTGATTTCAAACAATGTTGTTTTCCAGGCAATTTGACACGAATGAAATAAACGCAAACATCGAAGCTGAAATTTTTATCGACGAGTCGTAATTACTTTT